GATCACCTTAGCCTCTGAAGACCTGATCTACTACAAGCCTACGACCTACGACCCAGACCACGACCTCAGTGTACTGTTACTACGTGTCAATCCCCAGCTTCTGTTAGCAGACCCTACTGTCGGATAGCTGACCGTAACATATAGTTAGTTTACAACAGGACATATGTCAGTTCAGCAATGCTTACACACTCATCCCGTTCACAGGCTGTCCTGACGTCAGCAACCTGCTAGGTTGTTCTCAAGATGTAAGATACAGCTTGTCTCACACTTTCCCTGGCCTCCTTGTATGACGGTGTATCGTTCGTACCCGAGCTTGTCGCGACTGGCTTGGCTCTCTTGGTTGGAGTGAAGGGGAGGCGTGCCATAGGAGCCATTTGCCGGGTCCGCTTCATCATGCGCTTCGCCTGCGATGTTCCTTCGGGCACTGGTGCCGCCTCTTCCACTTGCGGTGAGGTTGTGGCACTAGAACAAGCGACCAACTGATTTTCGTCTGTCAGAGCCAAACCACGGTGAGCATCGTCGATCTTCCCATTTCCGTCGTAGATCAAGTAGCAGTTTGCCGTTCGGTCGAAGTAGAGTTCGACGTGTAAGACGGGGACCTCTGTTGAGACCTCTCCAAGCCGACGTCTCGACAGCTGTAGGAACATGCGCTCTCCATCGTGACCTTGCCGGACGCTGTCGACAGTGAATCGCCATGTTCCTTTCTTGGGGATGGGAAGTTCCACAACGTCATAACATCTGTCGTGGGCCAATAGTAAGCCCGCCTTGTTTCCACGGCCATGGAATGGGTCGCAGATGATCTTGAGTCTGTCTGTGCCTGACGTCGTGATGTCTGCAGAACGGTGCTTCTGAAGTGACGTAATGTCAGTTCTAAATAACTAGAAGTTGAATGGGGGTTCTCGTACCTGATTGAAAAGGATAGCGGCAGTGTCATCCCAGACGTCGTTGTTACTAGCGACTCTGCCGCCAGAAACCTGTTTAGGCACCTGCAAGTCGCGTTGCAGCATCTGGATGCCGAATGCCGCGCCGTTGCTCAAGTACTTATTAACCGTTATTGACTTGGAAGTGGCCAATGCGGCACCTCGGGCGACATTGAAGGCTCTGTTCGAAAACACCCAGGGGAGTGTCGGTCAGCAACCTTATGGTAGGGTGATGCAGTGGAATGAGACGATGACTTACGGGCTGCCGTTTGCTGTATCATAAGCGAAGATGGGCTTGAACCTTAGCCCTGCGTCTTTGCAGCACTGTCGGAGCCGTCTCTGAACCTCGAAGTGCCTTGCACTGCCCCCAGTCACCACCACTCTGCACTGATGAGACGCGCCATATAGCCGCCCAAGTTCATTGATGTGTTTCTGAGCCATGTCTAGAGGAGCTTTCATAGCTGCCTCAAAAGTGGCTTTGACAACCGACTCAGGAATTAAGACCGGGATAGAGTCTGATATGTTAGCGTGTAGTCTCATCTCCCGAAATGTTTCGACGCCAGATTCGGCAATCTGCTGATGAAAACTTTCCAGCAGTTGGGCACGTAAGTTTTCATCGAGAAAGGACTTCTTTCTGTCTGGTCCGTCGGGTTTCAGCGTTTCTTCGGTGCAAAACTCGCTGATGTAGGATTCCCAGTGCTCGGTACCACCGCCAGCCCCTGAATGTTGTCGTTGGTCAGCCACGTCAAGCCCATTTGACAGCCCGCGTGTCAGAGTTTCTGAGTACTTCACACAAAATCTAAACTTCCAGCTTACCAAATGGATCCCCGAGTCTGAAGAATGCTGCTGCGTCTACACATGGAGATGCTCTGGCTCTGATGGGGCAACCGCTCTGTTGAATTGATCAGCATTTTTTCGCATTAGACTAGACGTGAACTAACCATGCTGAATCCCCCAAAGTCCAGGCCGAGTACTGTAGTGTCTGCGGTCTTGGGGAAGATAGCTCGATACTTCTGTGCGTTGTGCATCAAATAGTGCGCAAATGCTTCGACCTCGGTATGGAAATAGAGATTGCGCTCAAGAACCTGCTGTATCGCTTTGGAGGTGAAGGCGCCCTTCAGAAGAGCCTTGTACTCATCCTGCTCATCATATGTCCAGGTAGCTGGGACAGACACGCCAAGCCCAGTGACTTGCCAACCTTCCGACTTACATTTTTCTTCGACCCCCTTGGCCACAATCTTGACGATAGACTTCAATCCGTCTTTGCAGCGTTTCTTGAAATCGTCGCTCCGAAAGCATCCGTCCAGTTCGGCTCGAAGAGGGTGATTGGAGTCCAACCCTTTGCCGTCCCCGAAGACCCACTTGACCGAAACCTGTCGTCGCCCACGACACTGGGCGTCTGGACTGTATACTGGACCGCCATCGAAAGGTGTTCTTGTTGACTTGATCTGGCCTCCACCATAGCGCTTGGTTTCCCAAGCTGGGCTATTCTTGCACCAGAGCTGATCGAAAATATGGTCATCTCCGATCTGACGGTAGAACATCACCCGCACGCCGGTGCTACCCAAATCGATTCCCAGAATACTCCAACAACAACTGTGAGCTAATTACGATGAGGTTTAATGTGTTCGATGCATACTCACACCTGCTTCGACTGGGCAGCCATGATGTGTTTGGACGGGGTACTTGTTCCGATTAGACGTGGATGGTATGATATGGGTTAGATACAGATCGATGGGAAGATGCTGGATGTATTGACGATGCCGCGGAGTGGGATGTGCGGAAATAATGAAAAAGGGGGATAAAGCAGCTCTGCGATGCTGCAGGAAGTTATGCAATGGAATGTGCAAGTCGGAGCAAACGTATGTATCATCCGGCTTGCATGTGTGACTGCCAAAACAGTGATCAACCGTTCAGCCACAGGGCAGAGCCTTGAAGGAGACTATAACAAGAAATCAGATAATTGTCGGGAAGGGAGGGCCATGAGGCTATTGTACTGCCAGCAGATCGACCCTGATCGCTCTGAAGTCACTGAGATGGGTGATACTGTCCTATTTGATACGTAAGAGTCGAGGCAGGTGTAATTCTAATTAAGGGGATTGGTATCAGTCATGGCGCCTGGACATCGGAAAGCGTTTGTAACCTGTCGCGGCTTGCTGTAACCGGGCTGCCACTTGACTGGCTGTGTTGGAGACCGATGGGTACTTCGTAACAAAGACTGGTAGCCATGGATTAGTGTCAGCACATGATGCATGGACTAGGGTTCGCAAGCAAACATCCGCAAGACAGCCGAAAGTGGTTACCTACATGCAGGCCTGAGCATGGCCCACAGGCATGCTTGACCAACAATCACACAGCCGCCCGGTTTCCCTGGCTCTGCTCAATTTTCTCAAGTTGGTCTGGCTCACACACACTGCCTACAGGAAGTTCATTGTTGCCACCTGGCTGAACAAAACAACATCCGACGTTGAAGTAACCACGTCGACAAGTTAAGAACGACTGCTCTAGCAGCACCTCTGTATTTTGTACAGGTCATCATCGAGAGCTCAAAACATTACAAGAAGAACAATTTCACCTAGCGTCATTTTGAGGTGCTATCCTCGCTAGCAATGCCCCTGTGTCATCATATGTCACCCGGCTCCGTACGCTTGTCTCCCCCTCCGCCTTGACCGTGGCTTGTGTTGTTTCCGGATACTTCTACCTTCTTTCGCAACTCCCTGACTGTTGTGCCACCGTTTCCGCGCTTTCTCTTAGATTGGTATTGCTCTTTGCCATTCTGTGTTGATATTTCGAGCGGCTCATTTCGAGACTCACCTTGACGCGTCGACACGGCAGAGAGAATATCTACCTGGCGAGCTACATCTGCTTTGGAGTTGGCCGTAATCTCCCGATTCTTGTGAGAGCCAATCCCCGAAAAAGGTCTGCCTTCTACGCATTGATCAGACAAATGGCCATTTTGACTTCCGCTTTCCAACGGCACCCTCAAGTTCGTCCCGCTGGACGACCAGGTATGTCTCATCACCGAGGTCCTCCAGGTTTAGCGTGAACTTCCAGTGCCTAGACCGCGGTTCTAGGAGGTCTATGGAGTCATAGCATGAACTCACCGTGACGAAATCCCATTAGTCGTCCTTGGCTTGCACAGATGAATGACAAACGATCCGTAGCTTCTCCCCTTTCGTCATATGCACGTCTGTTGGCCTGCTCTTATTCCAGAAGAGGGCATTGGCAAATTTTCGTAGCCTAGGCGGCGGCGGCCCCCTTCACACCATGCCTTCTAAACGTCCGCCTGGATTAGATGCCCTTGCCAACGGTCTACATACTACTGATGTAAGAGGTCCGTTTTCAGCCGAGGCAACATCGATCTGTCCAAGGACGAAACACATCTGGCGCTGACAAGAGAAAGGGGAGAATCTGCACTTCAAGTGTAATATGGACTTATTCTAAGGGCTTTAGTTCCTATAACGTATCTTCGTTGCCAATGCGTTCCGTCTATCTAGAGATCCTGGCCCAAGCATACGTAGTACGGAGAGTTTTCGATGGACACTACATGGGCATGAAATGAATGAGTTACAACAAAAACGAAAGAGAAGTTTCATTTAAAGGCTACAAAACATCACGCCTTGCGCACAGTGAACCATCAAAGGTTACATTACCGTCTCCAGTTCAAGCGATGAGCCGGCCCCCAAGATCGCATTAAACCTGCTAGTGCACCTGTTCACAGCCGCTGCAAATGGTCTTAACTCATCCCGTATCGCTTCCCTAGTTGCTTCAGAGCTTCGTATGGCGTTAAGTGAAAATCATCCGTTCTCGAAGACGACGTAGCGGGGGCCTGGCCAACATCCCCTGGCTGTGTGCTTGCCTTTTGACACCCATAAGGGCGAGCTCCCGTATCAGAATCACTACTAGACGAATAGTCTGAACTTTCAGCGAGAGTTTGTGTCGTTTGTGCAGAAGGAGCCGGGGCCTTCCTCTTGAACGGCGGCAAGTGCCCTGAAGGCTTCACCCCGGGCACTCGGGGATGGGGTCTTTTCCTTTTGACACCCGCAGCACTTTCCTCCCGGGCCATATGTTGAAGCTGCTCATCTCTGGCTTCCAGCGGACAAGCCTCAAGCCTGCCATCTTCCAAGAGCCTGAGGCCGCGGCCCTCATCGTCCACATCTACGTTCAGGAGACAGCAGTTTGACGTGCCATCGACGTAAAGTGGGAAGGAATGCTGTATTTTGGAGCCCCCGTGTGGCTTTCCACTTTTTCCCAGACTTTCGAGTTCCATGACAAGTGTCTTGGAAAGACCGTCCTTGCCGAAACTGAGACGATACCCCCAATATCCCTTAGGAGGTTGTGGCAGTTCGAGAACATCGTACGATCGGTCGATGTCTAATGTCCTGCGTTTCCCTTTGGTGCCCTTCTTCAGGAAAGGGTCGCAAATAATCTTGAGCCTTGTTTTACTTGTACACCATGTCTTGAAATGAAGATTGCTTGTCAAAGTAGGAAGAGTCAGTAATATGAATTTTGCGCGTGGGAACGAGGATTATCCACTAACAGAATCAAGAGCAACAGCCACGTCAGACAGCCAGTCGATAGCCGGGCTGCAATCACTTTGTCGTGCACCCGGCTTGAGAATACTCTTGCAGATTCCAAAAGCAGCGCCGTTGCTCACAAACTCTTCGACAGATAATGTGTATGCTGCCGCATGCGCGGCCCCATTGGCGACATTCCATGTTCTTTTGCAAGAATTAGTCGCCGATTTAAGTCAATACAGACTGGGATGTAAACTTACTCCTTCGCGCGTGAGCCATTTTGTGCGAAATAGGGGGGTTTAACCCCGACTTTCTCGCACGCTTTCTTGATCTTTGCCTGCACAATTGAGTTCTGACCACTTCCACCGTACACCACCACACGAACATCGTATTTCAACGAGGCAGCTCGGGCAATCTCCTTGGCTGCGCGTTCAAGGGGCTCCCTCATGGCTTTCCAAAAGCATTGCTCGGCCTTCTCAGCAGGGACGGTCAGAAAGTGCCACCTCTTTCAACTGACATTTTCAATTAAATCAGCTGACCACGGACGACTACTATTAACAAAGCTCAAAACTTACCGAAGGTTTTCCCCACCAAAAAGTAACTTAAATCATCATGGCCCCGTCTTGCGACACAGTGCATACATCCATTCTGTAATCAGTTAGGAAACAGACAGAATACCCAGAGGGTTTGACAATACTTGCCAGAGTGTGGCCGCCAAAGTCAATCGTCACCAGTAGGGGCGGTTGGTCGGTAATGGGGCCCATGACGGCATCGCTTTGTGTAATGGTTGAGAAGAGATTGTTGGCGGCGGCCAAACATTCCTCATGAAACACAATTTGAGGCCGAACCTGGCGCAGACACTCATCTTCAAAGGTGGATAAAACCTCCCTGACAAGTCTTTCATACTTCTTCCGCTCAACCTCGGTCCAATACGTAGGGTATGCCAGGGCAATCTCATCGATGTAGAATGGGCCACCTTTCGTCGTTTCGTTGCAATCCCGAACAACCTGCCTGAAAACAGTCTCAATGATCTTCTTCAGTCCTGTGTCGATACGTTCCCACATCGTCTTGGCCCTTGGACCACTGAGTGCTGCTTTCACAAACTCGTTGTTGGTCATAGGCACTTCGGCGAAGAAGGGCTTGGAGGGTGTTGCCACACGGTTGAGATCTATCCGTTCGCCCAAGTACACTCCATCTCCGTCGTCGTTGAGGTACAAATATGGACAGAAGCCGCCTTCTTGGTATCGCTCATCATACCAAGGATTGGGGTGTTGGTTCCAGATCTCTCGTAAGAGCGCCCCCTGATGACGAGGGTAAAGGGATGCACGAACTGCGGTGCTTCCCCAGTCCTTCGACAATATCCTGCGACAGGTGTTAGCTTACTCTCAGTTTATTGTCAACTGTTTGATGTAAAAGTGAGGGACTACTGACGTTGGCTTGCGCCGTTGCGGCGAACGGTTCGCCATAGCTGCCTAGGCTATCAAGGGGTTGTCGTTGAAAAGCTTGAAAATACTGGCCGTATCTCCCCACGATAGTGTCAACTGAAAACAGAAGCCACTCCCAAGTTTCGAGATTTTAAAGTGAAAAACAAATTCTTTGGCAGCATAGCAGAAACGAGGAGCATCAGGAGAGCAGGCCTCTCAAGAAGGTAAGAAGAATGGATCGCTTGTGCAAGCAGTCCAAGTGGGGCAAACATTCGGACCGATGCCTTCATCTATGTCGCAAAAGCTAACGTATTCAGCTGTCCTATTTTTGAATATGAATGGCATTCATGAATGAATGGGGCTATGCAACCAGGGTAAGTACCTCTTACTTTTTAGTCTACGCACGTTGTCTATTCTAACGTCCAGGGCCCTTGTATCTTGTTTGCTAATAGACGCATCGAAAGAAAGCAGAGCAAACGCCAAGGTGTTTAATCCCCCCCTGTAACGCAAACAGACAAAGTATTGTGGTACTTCCATCGTCCGCCGTCTGGTACGCATTCGTCCTCGCTATTGTCAATTGTAAACCCTCCGTTTCTCCTGTCTATGATAAAAAACAAATTTCGAAGAACTTCAGCTTCCTAAATTCTAGATTCTTTCACTGTCTTCATTCAGTTCTCTAATCAACAGCGCTTGTCTTTTGAAAATGGCACTGGTCAGAATTTCTCCAACTCCCCGAGCCTCTTCCAGCCAGCTGTGCTTGCCTCAAGTGTCTCCTAAGACCATCATGAGTGTTGACTCCCGACTCAAACGGGCTGACGACGGAATCACGCAAGGCATGACGAACCGACTCAACAAACTTATTCGTGATACAGAGGACATCAGACGCAAGACGCTGGAGTCCGCTCTAGCTGATATGCCCCTCGACTTTGAGGAGCAGGACAGACCGTGGGTTGTTGAACGGATTAAAGACAGCTTTCGGGTCCATTTTTCCCACATCCACTACGATACGCTCGACGGCTGTCCTCTGGTATCTTATCATTTAGGGAGGGACAAGCCGTCTACATTCCAAAAGTCGGTGTCTTACCTTGAAGGTACGATCAGGACTGAAGATGTTGTATGTTCATGATTCCAGTTCTTTGTATCTGTTCTTTGTAGCTTGTCTTAAGGTGTATCTGTTGACGATGTTTAGCCTGCTCCATCGCATGTCGATCCAATCCAACAGCAAGTGGGGATAAGCGGCTCTGTGTCGGAGCGTTCAACATGGTCAGTACAAAACAATCCTAACCCCGAAAAGCCTAGATTAACCCGGGGCAGCAACTCTAGCATGCCGTCGCAAAGTAACCCTGACCCCGAAAGGCCCAAACGCCAACTTCGGCGCTCAGATGTGTCGGATGAGGGGCCACGCAAGAAAGCACGACTTCCATCAAGAGTAGCTGACGTGAATCGCCCTGTGCGCCGTTACATTGTCGAGGCCCGTTACACTGAGAGCTGGATATTCTCGTATGTAACCAATGGCGTCCAAGAGCACTTCATCCTACGTTGCCCTGTTTCCGGTTGTCCCGATCGCAGCTTCAGCCAGAACCCAATTGAGAGTGGTTGTGGGATCAATCATTTGCGGGACCACGGTATCAAGGTCGCCGACGAAGACGATCTCGTGCATAAATATGCGCGCCGTAGTAAGTCTGACATGGATGCGGGTTTTGTTGTAAGTTGAGCCTTGCACTGACGATTTCTGCAGTGATCATTCGCGACGAAAGCGAGACTGGGTCCATTTCAAAGTCTTGGGTGGAGGAACATAACAAAGCCATAGGCGAGCCTTATGACACCGCAGATGGCGAAGACTGTGACTCCAAGTCTGACGTCGACGAGGACATCGATGAGCTGGGTCAGGATGCGATTCCCTCGCCAAGGGCTCTCGGCTCAACGAAGTCGGAGTTTGAGAAGACTGGAATTGCGGAAATTTCTGTAGTTGAATATGGAGATCTGGGGAACTGAAGTCGGCCGTGACAAGCCAACCTGGCCGACCAGCATTACATGTGTGCGCGGTCTTTGGTGAGACAGGTTTCGAATTTCCCATTGTCTGCGTCTTTTCGTTTCTAGTCCATGAGGTTGGTACACTACACAGAGTCTCTACTCATCTGCGTTACACTTCTTCCACATCAATATTTTTACTTTGCACGGTTCTTCCACATGTGATTAATGCCTACGTATTACCGGAGGAACCGGATACAGGCACTCCGAGGATTAGGGGCTGCAGAGTAATTATGATCTGCTCCAGCTCAAGCGGAAATCGCATAACCATCCGGTCTGGCTGCATAATAGGAAGCAAGAAATCCGCACTCTGACCCCTATTAATTATTCAACGTAGTTGTCATTGGTCAAGTCTCTGGGAGAAGCTGTGGATTACTAAGATTTATAATATAAGGCCTCGGCTCATAAGGAAACCAAGACAGTATCTATACTCCAGCTGGGCCTCCGCCGCGTTATTGCCATTGACACCTGAAAGCTATTAATGCCCAAGTCTATCGTCTTCATAGCCGTGCAACTTGTCTGTTCATTTGCTAGACTTTATATTTTTCGTCACATTTTTCGTCACTTTTTGTAAAAAAATCGTCAAGTTCTTACGGGGAGGGAGGCGTGCCATTGAGATGCGACCTGAAGGGGGCCGGCCGGCCGGCCCCACATCGGACCACGAGCCCGGAGCTCATCCAAGTGGGTGAGGCTCGCCCATTACCGTCGAAACCCCATGGCGACGACGGGCAAGTTGAGTAAATGCCCCAGTCATTATAAATTTTTCTTAAATTCGACGAGTGGGCAAGGACTGCCGCTAATACTCCTGACCGGAGGCGTGCTGTTGATAAGCAGCGCCACTGCCTGCGGCCAAATACCACACATTTCAAGAGAAGTTGCGGCAACCGCCCAGGCATTCACGACTTCCCTAATATTAATAACAACACGTTTTTTAATTATGCCGTTAGTTCGTAGGCGTTTTCAAAAGTGTTGTGAGTTAACGCTTTTGTGGATAAATTACACCCTCAAGGAAGGAATCGCAGGCCGCTGTCATCGTCCGGCGCTATCATCCCACGTATAAGTAACCACCCAACTAAACAGTCACATTCACGGGCACTCTTCAGTCTTTGACCGCCATGTAATTCGCATGGTGAATATGGGAGTGGCTTGTCCTAAGGTAGTACAAATCCTTGAGTCTCGAAGTTTCAAGGGCTACCTTGTATATATATTGGCCCTCTGGGAGTAATCGTCACTTTCAAGAACCCTTGAAAACCTTCCTGGCAAACGTCTCCCTTCCGCTTTCAACATCGTCGTACCTCTATCCGTAGGATGGGGGTTCGCATCGTGCCGTTCCGCCATCCGCCCTCGTTGCCCACCTTCGTTGCGTATCCTCCTCCATGCTCATTACTCCTACTCGTGATCCTCCATAATAGTCAGGATTAATGGCTGACCTTCCACCATTACCATCGTATCTCTTCATCAAATTTACATCGATTCCTCTGGGGTCTTCCTCACCATGTGTTCATTCTGAAACCCACGAAACACAACGACGGATGGATCCAACGCCAGCCGGCTAGCCTATCCCTTGGTTCCTTACAATCGCCAATCGCTAAAGTGGTCCTGGTTAAATGCCTCTCTCAATCACCTCAAAAGCCTCTGCAAAGCCAGGCTCCCTCTTAGTCTCCTTCCAAAGTCTCTCCTTCAAGCCAGCACCCTCCGAGGTGTACATGATCGCCGGCCAACTATACTGAATCAGTCACGTGTTCCACACGACCTAGGCATCTCCTAGGCAGTACTTACGGTTTGATCACTCCATCGGAGGTAAAGCTTCCGTGGCTCTCAGGCCCCTTTACCAGCGCCGCATCGAGGTAGCTCCTGGCCCCAATCTCAACACTGCGGCCTAGCGTCTTCTTGAATAGCCCCGTAAAGAAGGTTTCCGTCGCTGGCTTGATGATGTTGGTGCCGGCCGTGAGCCCTGAGTTGGCCAGGTTCACAATGACCTGATCCGGACTAACATACGTCGCCAGCTTGTCCATAAACAACTGCCCAAGGAATTTTGAGTTCTGGTAGTTCTTCGCCGAGCCCCACCGCCTCTCCTTGTCGGCGGGCTTGAATAGGGAACCCGTCACCATATCCTCCTCCGGCGTGTGCCAGTACGTCGTGTCCGAGCTGACGATGACCAGCCTGCCCGGCTCGCCAGGCGGCTTGTTCTCCTTCATGATCGGCAGCAGCAACATGGCCTGCAGCGCCGTGGAGAGGTAGTTGACCTGAAGCATCAGCTCATGACCCTCCCGCGAGCGGGTGAAGGTCTGTGCGACAACGCCCGCGTTAAGGATCACGATATCGATCCGCGATAACTCCTTCTTGCATCGCGTCGCAAAAGCCCTCACGCTGTCGTACGACTCCATCTCGAGATGCCACACCTCAATCTGCGCCATCGGGAACTCCCGTCGCAGGCCCTCGGCGAGCGCATCGCCCTTCGTCGTGTTCCGCACCCCCATGATAAGCCGCCCCAGTTGCCGCTCCAGGAACTGACGGCTCGCCTCCAGGCCGAGGCCGCTGCTGGCGCCAGTCATGATGAGGGTCGCGTCGGACAGGTCGAACTCCAATGGGATCTCGGCTGGCGTGATCATGGTCTGCCGGTAGACGAAGGCCAGCGGGTTGGCCTCCCAACCGGCCTGCTCGGCCAAGGTGTTGGACATGCTGGGCTGTTGCGATTTCGTACCTCTTACTGCGACCGTCGATATGCGGGGGCGATTGGATTTTCTGTCAGGATGGCGAAATTGGCAGATTGGCGAGAAAGCTTGTCAGCTTGTCGAGGTCGGAAAAAGTGGCGGCTACGAGGTGACGTTTGGCAGATGAAGTACCCTCCCGGAGGACCCGTTAATTATGGGGATGAGAAACATAAAACGAGATTGCGCGCCCGCCCTTAGCTCAATTTTCCCGACAGGAGTGTTTGTATAGGACCGGGGCTTGTTAATAATATTTGATGTCATGCTCATTCTCTCACTCATCCAACCCGCCCCTTCGATGTCAGGGTCGGGGGGGTTGAGGGTGGGAGCACCGCATTGCTTTGCCTTTGACCGGGTTTTCCCCACGGGGCGCGAGGTGTCCCGAGGACCTGGCGGACGACCAAAGTTGAGACGCGCCAATGCCTACGATCGGACTGAGGGGCGTCGCCTATTCGCGTGCGCTTGAGGGTTGGGCGCTTAGGTATCAGACTTGGTTATGCGTGCGACGTTGGACAACCACCATCACGGTGCCCCTTTGCCAAGAGGTTTTTCCAAGAATGTGTGTAAGAAGGAGGCACGGAGGGGGAGAGCTTTGTTTGACGCAGGATCGGCAGCGGGCTCGGCGACGGGGTCAGGGTCCACGACGCTCGGTGTTGCATGTCTGTGCTAAGAAAAGAACGCCGTTGGGGTCCGCAAATAGCGTGGTCGACGGCCGATGGACGCCAAGTCTGGGGAGTGACATCGTGGAGGGTCGAGAGGTCTCAAGAGGCAAAAGACGATGTTTGGAGATGTGAATGTGACCGTCGTCTATGAATAAACCTTCCAGTTAGCCGCGAAGCTCTAGACCAGTGTCTTGGGACGCATGAAGAAATAGACATCAGGAGAAGTTTAAGGGGGTAAAACATGTGGTGTGCCGGGATGGCAGTACAATCATCGGTGAGTCTCGGTGAGCAATCCGGACATTCTCGGTGAGCTCGAACCGATTCCGAAGGTTCCACTGTGGCGCGTGTCTTCCGTGTGGCTCAACACGCCGACTGTGGCACGGCATAAACCCGGCTGCCCTCCCTCTTCCGGCTGAAGCCCCTCCAAGGCCCCCTCCCCCTCCTCTTGATTCGTTAGGGTTCATGCGAGGCCAATGGTGGGGTAAAGAAGAAGGTGGGCTGGAAGGGAAATGCAACCTTGGCCTTTCTCAGGGTCGTTTCGCCTTTCCCGACATCACCGCCAATCCTGCCCTTCACCGAGTTCCACGACCAAACCCCCCCTAACCCCCTTTCTTTTTCCGCTCCGGGATCCCAGAGACGAACCGCTCTCTCTCCCGTCCACATCCTTCCGTTTAATTTGCGTGTCCTTACGCAATTCCTCCCGCCGACCTAGCCGTCCTCCCCCGACCGAACTTCTCCACCTACCGACATATCTCCCGCCGCCCCCTTCTTCCTCCCACCACCCTCCCTCCACAAAAACCGCCCGTCATGTCCGGCCTCGACGCCCCCGAGATCGCGACGGCCTACGAGGCCGTCCGCTCCGACAAAGACGAGACCAACTGGCTGCTCATCTCGTACGCCAGCGCCGTCGGCAACAAGATGAGCCTGACCAAGACGGGCACGGGCGGCCTCACCGAGCTGGCCTCGGAGCTGGACAACTCGCAGGTGCAGTACGCCTACGTGCGCGTCGAGTACGCCAACGACGCCGAGAGCAAGCGCGTCAAGTTCGCCTTCGTCATCTGGATCGGCGAGAACACAAAGATCATGCGCAAGGCCCGCGTGAGCATCGAGAGCAGCGAGGTCAAGAGGGTGCTGCCCCACCACAGCATAACGGTCAACGCAAGCGACAAGGGCGATCTGGACGAGGACGATATCGTCAAGCGGTTACGCAAGGCTGGCGGCGCCGATTACAACGGCGGCCGCGGTTGAGCAAACCCCAATTGACACCAATTGGAAGGGAAAGAAACACAAAAGCACATAAAGGGGGAGAGCGGTGAGCGGCGGCGGCGGCGGCACGCTGATTTGGCGGTGTTTGAGCTACGAGTACACGGTATCTGGCCAGGCGGAGGCGCTTAGGAGCGATATGCATACTTTTTGAACACAGCATACCTTGGATAAATATATTAGTCTTCTGTTTTGGGGCCGGCGCGAGCCGATCGAATCTAGGAGTCATCTCTTCTTACTGCTAGTGTCACTGTCCAACAGATCTTGCAAATTGCACTGACCCAGGTAGCCCCCGTAATACGTCAATGGGGCTCATATCAGCAGCATTGATGGAACCCCTATAGAAGCAGCGTTCGGTTCCGGTCCCTGGCGTCGAAGGGGATTAGCATCTTGCCATCCAATCTCGGGGTATATCCTGCGTCTTAGGCGTTCCCGCAGACGAACTCTCCCACCTTGGGACCGAAACGGCCACGTCAGTAGCCTCAACCTCCTAAGCTTGTTTCTCCCCCGGGCCGATCCCTGCAACGTCGGCGCCTCCGCTCCCGAGGAGGAAGCAAACATGGGACAGGCCAGTCCACGCGGGGGCTAGTTAGATCTAATAATTGTCCTTGAGATTAACCCGATAAAAATCTGCATCGACATCTATTCTTGACCCCCTTTCCACCAGTCCGGAGATTTCAGTAGCCAGCATTTCGCAGCCCAGCACGGCAGCAGTGCGTCTCTCCTTTGGGCTGCAACGTCAACGGCTTGGGTGAGGAGTCCTCTCGTTTCGGTGGCGACGTGAAACCCCTTCGCGTCTTTCCAGTTGGTGTCCCTCGATAGGAGAGACACCGACTCGGCAGTTAATATCAAGTCGCGTGCGATTTCGTTGTTGCTGTGCCCCCCATATTTCTCCAGCTTACATACGCCGGTTCTCTGGCCTTAGGGTATCGTTGGCTACGTTCTTTGTAACATGCCAGAATTGATGTGCCGTCGAGGTCTTCTTCAGCTATACAAAGCCTTTTAACGTATGGGCTTCACATCCTCTTATCTCGATCTCAGGTAACGACCCTGGAAATAAGGCATATGTGTTGGCTATGGAATACATGGTGAGGTCATTATCAAACTTGATCGAGGCGGGTTCCCACCCTGACATGGCTACCCGCCGACACTCTTTGGCCGAACGCCGCCTTAAGCGGAGCTCGTGGGGCTTATGTTTCCTGGTGCGCTGCTGTGCCAATTGGAAGCGGGGTGTAATCGGGCTCTCAGCGGTCGGCGCAGATGATATGAAGGGGATGCAAGCGGTATAACTGGTCGTGGGGGTCTGGGTGCATATAGTCCGGTGGAAGCTCTAGTAGCCCCGGGTTGAGGGGTGGCGTATGGAGGGCTATCGATGCTTCGGTCCTCTCATTGCCGCCCCTTGCCGGTACCGAAATGCCCCGGCGATGGTCGTTACTCGGGCCCGGACGGCTGAGGTTGGCGGACGCCGCCCGGGGTCTTGATAAGTCCGGGGGCGTCGGCAGATGATGACGCAATCCGGGTTGACTCTGTGAGGTGCCAATCATATGATGGGGGCTTCTCGTCTGGATCCCCTGTCGAATTTGGCGGTTTGTTATTTGTAAAAGTCTCCTAAACAAGCGCATTCAATCATTACTCAGGATATTAACCCAACCGGATGACTTGAGTGGCGCCTTACCTTACGCGACGGCGTCTCTCGTGGGGGGTGATTATGAGCAGCGGGGATATCTCGGGTCGTGCCCCTAAGATATACGGGACTCAGCACGGGGAAGGACCTAGCGAAGGTGATCGCCTCATGTTGAGCAGAGACACAGCAGCTGGTAACATTGCCTTGTTTGCTAGCGTCTGCCCCGTAAGCATCCATTATCTAGAGACCACCTCTCATCATCCAGCTCGAACCTGGAGAACCTGAGCTCTGTTGGCCAATAAACGACATTTACCTTAGGCTATGAGAAACGTAGTGATGCCGATCACATGTGACTGCCAGAGTTGTACATATAATGGCAGTCAACAAGGTGTGCCCGTAGGCGGTCACCTGCTAAATGAAACCCTACCCGCAATTGGGCCGCATACTATCCAGGCCTCTCTTTTGACTTCCCTCATTTGCCATATCTCGGCTCAAGACTTGAGGGATGGGCTTAATAATATGGGGCCTCTTGTATGGTGTTGCTGTGACACACAAGTGATAGCAATGGCGATACTTCACCGTCGATGGGAAAGTGAGGGTTAGCGGCTTGAGGAAACTTCACGGCCTGTTAAAACGATCCACTATTTACTCTTCTGCACACAGCCTGGGCACCAAAAATCGCATCACTCTTCATTCGCAAGGCTTGCTCTGCGGAACCCCAAACGCAATTCTAGGCGCGCCGGATAATTTCAAGCCAATCAATCGCAGCCACGCTGACGAGCTTCCTGTGATTGACGCCTACAGCCTGATTTCCTCACTGATATTCGACGTTTTCTAAAAAGCAACACCGCCATCAGTGAAGCTCCCCATCTCTTCACGCTGCATTTCATTCTCATCAAGAAGAATTCAAGTCACGCGATAATGGACGGCCTCAGTGCGGCAGCGAGCATTGTTGGGGTGATTTCCCTGGCAATGCAGCTGAGCCAGGCAACCCGGAAGCTCATAACCTTTCTCGACACTGTCAAAGAAGCACCGCATGAGATCAATCGTCTTAAGGAACTTCTCCAACTGGTTTATTCAATGGCGATAGGGGTGGTCAACGCGTTGGAATATCAACGAAAACGATTGGGTGACTTGGCTCCGGGATATAACCACCTTCACGACGTCTTGGCTGTCTGCTTACGCAGGATATCCTCGATTCAAGATATAACTGGGAAGAGCCACATATCACAAACACAAGGAAACTTGTCTTTGAAGAGTTGGGCGAGACTCAGGCTCTCTCTCAAAGGGGAAGAGATCCTCGAGCTGGAGCGACAGCTGGGGTTGTCTTTGCAGGTGCTCAACGTCTCTTTGACTACCAGTCTGTTGTAAGTTTCCATAAAGTCATATTGCTTCCGTCAGTCTAACATGTCGTTACGAGC